TATATATATATAGCATCATCATATTGATTTGATATGTCAACAATTTGTCAAATAAAAGAACAATATCTCCCCTTTGCAGAGTAGAAGTAAAACGAATGGTTCCTCAAACTTGTACGTTTGAATGCTGCACTTTTACTTATTTGTACATTGTTGTATTGAATATTGTAAAACGTTCCTCCATCACAGTGTAAACTGGTGGCTGAAGGTGTCGGACCTCTTCACTCTTTGACCCCAGCAGCGCCTCTAATCCGCAGCGAGGAATGAGAGGCATTCTTCAGCTGCTCACAGGAGGAGGAGGAGGAGGAGGGGAAGTTACGACGTAGTAGCGGCTCTCAGTCAGTCAGTGAACCAAGTTTCCAGCGACTCAGCCATCATGGTCTGAAACTTTGCTTTTTTTGAAATGAACTCACTCGGCGGCCGCGGAGGGGATTTAAGCGGCGATAGAAGCCCCTGACCTGGGTGTGTTTCTTTTGGAGGCGGTGGGTGGGGTGGTGTCGGTCCGGAGAAGCTGAATATGGGTCAGACCGCTGTGTCTGCTGTGTCTCAGCCTGCGAGCGGTGAGTGTGTGTGCACATAATGTAACGTTACGTGCCTCCCTGTTGTCTCACACACACACACACACACACACACACATTCCGCTATCTTTTCTCAGGATGTTTGCTCATTTCTGTCGGATAATTCACGGAAACCTCCTCACGGTTCCAACACAGAAACAACGCGCTAAACGGGGTTCGTGCTAATAGGAAGTTAGCTCTCTGAGACGCGCTCGCATCCTCTCGGTTTCTAGTTGTGTCGCTGGTTGCGTTGCCCAACTGTTGGTGAAGCGGACTTCACTGTGAGAGGACGGGCTGTTGTGCAACCGAAGAGTTGCATCGCTGCCGCCGCTGGATAATGAAGTGCTCTGTTGAGTTAATAGGACTTTATGTGTTTAGCAACCGGTTTGAACAGCTCGGTTTGTTTTCCTACAAGACCCCAGAGATCTCTCTGAGGGCTCCAAGTGGATTTACATTTAATTCACAGTATGGACCTTATTATCAAAAATAAGTCCTCAAGTGAGCCTATTGTCATTGTTCAGCTAATGGTTATTTTCATTTTTTATTAACTTATTGTGTGTTTGGTCTATCAAAATGTAACCCTTATCAAATTGCCTTTTTTTTGTCCATCCAACACTTAAAAAAACGCCCAAATGTTCAGTATAAAATGATTTACAATAGAGAGAGGACACTTGAAGGGCTGGGACCACATACTTGTTGCCTGAAAAATTACATAAAAGTTCAGTTTATTGTCACATGATAGAAAGGAAAAGCAGCAAGCCCTCACTTGTACCATGAAATGTCAAATTATTTATTTGTTGATCTCTATTTGGACATTCCTTCCATGTTTTACTCATAACACTCCCAAAACAAACTACTTAAAAAAAAAAAAAAAACAACAACTTGCATCCTTTTTTAATATATTCTTAATCTCAGTTCCTGTGATCGACGGCCATGCTGGTTTCATTCTCGCTGTCAATGTCGAGGGCTGTTTCACACCCGCAGTACAAAGTGAATACCACTGACTGCAATTTCCCACCTGATGCAAAAGAAAATTCAATAAGGATCACATGAATATGAATCACTGCTTCAGATGAACAAGTATATTAGTTATAGAGATTGTCAGAGGTAAAACCAACACGAGTCGGCTCCAATACGCCTTGACTTAGATTCTCCAGGTCCCAGAGAGATTTACACTATTATTCCAAAAGATTTACCCTAATTTTGGTGTTTTGATGATGATGGTAGGGAGGGCGGTCTAAAGTGTGGCTCCAAAATCTCAGGTGGGTTGAGACCTGATATCTCCTGATTTAAATCATAATTCTGCTCCGTTGCCGTTCGTAGTCTTCCTTAAACAAAGTGAGTTGCCCGGTTGTCATATACATGAAAAGGTCGTCCAGCCTGTAACTAGAGATAAACTACTGGATGGATGCATCATGATCTTGAAGCACAGAGTCACTTAAAGCCTTAAAAGATCAAATATGAGACTACATTAGCACAGGAGTGTGTGAGAACGTGCTGCACCTCACACTTACAAATCGTCTTTTTTTTTTTTTCTTTGTCCACTGTAGTCCTTTGTCTGTCCGTGAGCCATAAAAGTAAACATTTCCCATTTGCTCACATTTTTCATGGGAATGCTTTAAGGCAGTGAGGCACAGGAAGAGACGAAGGACTCCGGATGAAAACAAAACTGGACCTTTTTTATGACGCTGTCAGCATTTAACAGTAAAGACTCAGACTGTTTTGTAGCACACTTAAGCCAACATGCATAGGGTCCTGAGGCCATAATAGTGATCTATATAGGCTCAGCGTTATATTATGATGCTGTGCTGTGCTTTTAAATGCTGAATCTACAGTACTAATAGCAGGAGGGGGAAATGATCTGTCAGGGTCTTATTGAAAGATCATTAATATAAAACTGATAACCTCTCAGCCTTAATGAGTTATGACTGTGCGTTAAAACGCTGGGAAGCTGCAGTCTCTCCTCGATTTATTTAGGGTCTGTTACTCCTGACTTTAATCCAGCAGGCCCTCTGAGTATCATGAGTTTAACAGGCCTGTGCTTCTCTGGCCTACATTGGAGAAAAGTTTGGAAGAAATGACCCAAGTGTTAAAACATCAGCTAATGCCCAGCATCGCCCCTCCCTCCTCCGCTCTCATCCAACACCTCCTTTTTTTTTGCCATATTTTCTTCTTCTTTCCCTGCAAGTTACTGCCCTCCTCCTCCTCCTTCCCACATTTTCTTTTTGCCCCACCTCTCCCCTTCTCTCTCTCTCTCTCTGTCTTCTCTTCTGTCTCTCTTTGCCTCTTTCTCCCTCTTCGTCCGTTGGTGACGTCCCCGGTGACTACCATGCGAAGGAAGGAAGCCTCTCCCTTTCCCCCCTCCTCTTCATCCTCAACACATGTTCCTGCCATAACGTCTGAAACAAAATAATGCTGGCTGTCACAGCCCAGCTCTTAAACAGTGACAGAAATGGGAGACACACGGTTATACTCAACTGATAAAGTCAATACAAGTCGGACAAACAGATGGGAGGAATCTGTTGTGCTGTAAGAACACAGAAAAGTAACCAAACAAAGGTTTTCGGGTGAGAGGAGATCCACCAACTTCTGCTGCTCAAGCTTTAATGCATGGGGGCCACACGGGGCCCAGGTGTGTCCTATGCCACTGATTAGTCCTCAATCAGGTCTGCAGCCCTGGAGAAAGACAGCACAGACAGAGGGGCGCTCACACTGGCTTTGTTAGAAAACATCTCCACTTTAAGTTAATCTTAACATTACATTTATTTATTTGTTTTACAGTTATTTATCTGATGCTAAACAGCTCACTGACCCCTGCATGATTACTTCATTGAGGCGTCTGTCGTGTCTCAAGTTGTGTTTCTGATTATCTCACTCAGTCCCACAGCTGCTTTATATCCAAACCCTGACTCACCCCTTCAGCGTGACATCGCGAGTCATCCGTACCAAAGTAAAAAAATGCCTCCCTGTGAAATCCAGTGTGGAATCGCCACGGAGTCGAGTCAGCAGCGGCTGTAAAGTGTAATAACGCCCCTGAGTTAACCTGAGGTGGATTGGAGCCACGATGCTGTGATTTAAAAGCTGCAGTCGGTATCATTTTGCTTTGTCTTGGCCGGATCCGTCTTGCCTGAAATGCTGTAAAATTGTAGCTCTGAATTGCCCTCGTTTCAACTTTCCTCGTTGAAGAGGACGTGCTATAATATATTTATTTGTCATATATTGTAGAGCACAAGTTTGTCTTTCCGAGGCTTTGAGGCGAAGCTGCGTTGTGTTCTTTAGCTCTCTGTTCACAGCTACCTGACGGTGGTTGATGCTGTTACTTCCTTTAGCTGCTGACAGATGTCTATTCATGCTGTGGTCAAGGTGTGGTTTGACTTCGGGGAAAGATCAGGGTTAAAATTTGTACTTAGCAAGGTTAGGGAACCTTTGTCGTCATTGTTACAATAAGATTAGGGAACGTTTGAGGGCATCCTCGCTCAAAAACAACGTCACCTGACTTCCTCCTCTGCTCCGAGTGTATGAGTTTTGTCACTTGAAACTAAACATATGTCATTTTGGGGAAGTTCCTGAAACGACTAATGCTGCCATTGTTGTTGTGGTGACAGCTTCGTTTCGTGGGAGTCGAGAGCAGTGGGTCCCGAAGAACAGAATTAATACAGGCACATTCTCAATTGTAGTTTAAGGCTCTGCTGCTGTGTGGATTTATGGATAAATTAATAGTTATTATTATTTATCTCAAATAATTAATTAGATTAGGTATGCCACTTGGCATTTCCTTAATTTTCTTTACAAATAACATTAACGCACTTCTAGTGATTGTGATATCCGTTGCGTATTTTGATGTCTTAAAATGTTACGTAAAAGCTAAAGTAAATGTCTTTTAAGTTGTGTAAGTGTACATTTGAATAACGGGATGATTTAGTGTTAAGTTGCTCTCCATTGAAATTTCTTTGAAGATTAACACTTGTGTCATAGAACTGTAGGCGTATGAAAATATCAATTTCCTGTGTTGCAACATGACGCGTATCAGTTGCAGACCGCAAAAATGTGATCCGTCTGGATCTTGGCTTCAACCGCTCTAATAAACAAAATCAGGATTTGTTTAGAAAATAATGAAGGGGACTTTCTGCAAAAGACTGTCAGTTCACTATCTATTTTCTCTTCTCTATTCTCTGAGTCAACATTCATCTTTCTATTTCTCTTTTCCTTTCTCTTCTTTCTCTCTGCGAGTAATACGTCTGTCCATGTTAGGTTCCCACTCGAGGTTTAATCGGTGGGCTAATGGTGATGATAATCTCTGTTACTGATTTTCCCATCATTAGCTGCACAAAGCAGCTGCTGAAATGGACCTATTGTTGCGATTTGATATCGACACAGGAACAGGAAGTGTGTGCGTGCGTGCGTGCGTGCGTGCGTGCGTGCGTGCGTGCGTGCGAGCGTGCGAATTAAATTGGTGTCTGGGGAGAGCGTGTACTGGCCTCTGCACTGCACTTTTCCATGTCTTTGCTCGTGGTTTTTGTGCTTTTAATTGCCCTGTTTGTGAATGTAAATGTTGTTTTGCTACATCCCTCAACAGTCAGGGTCGTAAGGTGAGCACAATCCTACTGAGAGCAGTCAAACCGGCATACTTGTATGTCATGCTGTGATTCAACATGCTGCAGTGTTGCTTTTACATTATTGGGCTGCACAATTTATCAACATTTTATTTAAAATCAATTGCAATTGTAATATGGCCTACCGCAATTTTCAAATCGCAGGAGGAGCAATTATTGTTAAAGGCAAAAAGTATGTCAAAATACAGTTTTAAATGAAATATTGTGTTGCACAGATGTCCTGGCCTACACTACGCAATCTTATCGAATTTGCAATCAGTCAAAAATAATCGCAATGAGATATTTTTTTCTAAATTGTACAGCCCTACTAATTTAGGCTGATTAACATTTGTTTCTTGATGACATAACTCTCCTGCAGACGGCCAAATACCTGAAGCCGCACCTTAACATTTGATATAATATAGGCTGCTCTGCATTAATCTACCATCACCAGTAAGCAGCATCCAGAGACGGTTTATTCTGATCACTTTCAGCCATCAGTGAGGCGAACTGAGCACCAGATGACCAACAACATCTGGCATCAGCAGTCTGTCGGTGCTGGTGAGAGCCAACCAATTAACAGGCTATAGATTGTTTTCTACTGAGCTGAAGACCAGGATACGGATTAGCTCCATCAGACGAGAAAATATTACAGACGAGTTCAAAAAAATGTGTTTTTCCATTTCCTGGACTTCAACCGCATTCTTTTGATTTACCTCTCAAACGCTGGCTTTGTGCTGTTGGGCAACAGCAATAATTCTTTCTAAATGTTGCCGAGTGTGTTTTCAGCTGTTTTTCTGCTGACCATTTTGCTGCATAAGCCTCTTAAAGGGATTTGAGAAAACTCTGCACTGTTGCCTTTTCAAACGACCTTTGTTATGGTTCTGTCTATAGTTACTGAGAAGGACACGAGCTGAGAGCAGTTGGTCTTTGCATCTTTACCCATCAGCAGCAAACATCTGATTCAGTCTCATTACTCCATGTGCTCCCATTTCTTAACAGCTAAAGGTTAAATCCCTCCTACCATCTCGCTCTCCGATATTGTCATGGATAATAAAAATGTGTTTGTTGAAGAGATGAGTGCAGGTCAGCATCTCTGACATGTACACAAGATAATAACACGCAAACAAACACCATATCCTCGACATTGATGTTATTGTTCTAACAGGCGGGATGATTTAATGTTCCTCCAGTATTTTAATTAAATGCACAGTACTTGTTCAAACTTAATTAAAGCGTGAGCACAAACACAAGATACATAAGGATCCAGTCAGTGCAGTGTGGTACAGTAGAAACTGTCATGACTGCTAAACCCACAGGGAAATAACATGACTCAAAGGCAGAACCCAGTAAATTAGTAAAGACAGTCTTTACTAATCAAACAGGTTCGGTACACACGAGATCCGTCGGATAATCAGGCAAACAAAGCAGGCAAGGACGAGGCAAACACGAAGTCTATAATAACAGGCAGAGAGATCAGAGAAAAACCAGGAACACTAAGGAGATTGCTGGACTCGGGGCAACAAAGACGAACTGGCACAGAGACTGGGAAACACACAGACTCAATACACAGAGGAGGTGAGGATGATTAGGCACAGGTGAATCCAATCGGAGGGCGGGGGAGACAATCACATGGGCGGGAAAATACACAAGGGCAGGAAGAGAAGTCTCTGAGAGGAGAGGAGAGGAATACAGAATAAAACAGGAAATAATGGAATGTTAAAATAAAAGTAAACATAAGGAGCAGAAAGAGACATGGCAATGACGAGAGTTTTTTTGATTGATCAGCGGAAATAAAATAAAAAAAATATCTCTGGTTCCGCTGCAGTCCAACAATGCCATTGTGTAATGCTAAATCAGTGGAGTACTCTTTTTTGTTTTAAACAAATTAAATGCCCTAAAACAACTGCTAACATGCTGTAAACTCTCCCTAACGGTCCTGACCAGCCTCAGACTCAAACTTCAGCTCCTAGCTGCTACAATAACTTGACGTTCCTTTGAGGGAATTCATTTAGTAATTTGAAGATACAAATTATGATGTTCAGGAAAAATTACCTAAAGTGTGTTAGCAGAGATAATAACCTTTTGATCCCTGCTGCGCTCCCTAGAGCGAGTCAGCAGAACTCAAAAAACAAAAACCTTCCTCTCCTTGAATCTGAGGAATCACACACCACCTCTCTTTCCTCTGTAAGGTTCCGGTATGACGCGCATACACACACACACACACACACACACACACACACACACACACGCACATAGACATAGATAAACACACACACACCATCTGCACACTGCCTGAAGTCTTCCAGAGGGTTCACAGGACTTCTTATCTTTCAACAGGAAGAGGAGGACTTGTGGAAGGACAGGGATCTAACCAAGACACGCACACACACACACACACACACTGCAAGTACTGTACGAATATAGAGTTAGGAATGATATTCCTGCTCAGCCGTTGAACACTGAGAGAAACAAGATATTAACGCAGCAATGTACAGCGAAATGGTCCATGACAATAGTAAAATAAAGCAACTAAAAACATTTATTGAGTCCAACAAAAGAGGCGTCTTTACCTATGCAGATTGTTTCAGTTGAGTTTTTTTTAACGGGCATAAATAGATAAATCTTTACAGTAAAAAAAAAAAAAGTCAGAAAAATGATTCTACTTATTGTATCCTATCTTGTTGTTAGGTAACCACCTCAGTACAGTACATTTTAGACACGTAGGGACTTAAGTTGCAATGCTTTAATGTGGGAAAGATATCCAATGTGTCATGAGTTAGCGTGTGATTTCATCCACATCCTTTATTTCATACAATAACAGGGATCATAATGAAATTAGTCAGTGTTATGCAATAGGAACAAGAGAAAAGAAGACTTTGTTTGCTTGAAGTTAATCTGGATATAGTTTCCCCGAACACATTCAAGTCCAGCATTAGCCGTGAACAGATCACATTATTATCTCAATGCATCACATAAAGCTTCACCTCGTGCATGTAGAGAACTGTCGTGCACGCTTGTGTTTGTTTCATGGTGCTGATGTTCTGTTTTTGTATTTCTGCACGTGTGTCTTGTAGTTGATGGGTTGGAGAAATCATCATCGCTGGCCAGCTGTGACGTGGTGGTGGACAGCGCCACCAATACCCAGAATGCCCCTCCAACACGTCAGCAACGAGGCAAGCTGTCGTCAATAGGAAAACTGTTCAAACCCTGGAAGTGGAGGAAGAAGAAGACCAGCGACAAGTTCCAGGATCTCTCCAAAGGTAGGACGTCTTGCGTGTGCGTGTGTGTGTTGAGTGAGGATTCGCTCTCATCAGTCAAGTGTCTATACAACGTCATGTCTTGCATTTTTGGACTTGTGCTAAACAGAGGAGCTTTAAAAGGAAAAGAGTGAACGGGTTTGTTTGTAGCTCTCACTGATTCATTCCTGAAGTGTTGGCTGGGAAATAAAAAGGGACAGAAGTAAATACAAAAAGCTCTTTTTCTTCATGGCTGCCAGGTCTATGTACATATTAAAATGTTTGAACCCAGCTATTTAAACCATTTACTTGGAAGGGAAAACAAATATGGACATTGAAATTGAAATCTAACATTGTTTTGGAGCCGCAATTGTCTGGCTTGTTCAGTCTTTCTGTTTTATGGAGTGTACAAAACCTCGCTTTCTAGTGAGAGAAAAACAGCAGCAGTTCTGACTTAGTTACTCATCTTTGACTCTATATACGTGGCGCTGACACATGCCATTTAGCAAAAAGAAGAGGAAAGTGGCTGTTGTGCAATGCGTTTGTAGAATTCTGTGTAAATCGTTTGCTATAGCTAAAAAGACAAGATAAAGGCCTTCATCTTATTGATCTTTCAGTTCTGGAGAGAAAAATCTCCACCAGACAAACAAGGGAGGAGCTCATCAAGAAAGGAGTTCTCATCCTTGACCAAGGTCTGTCTGATCATTCTTTCACATGTTTCTTCGTCATTTACACTTGAAGTTCAGCTCCTTCAAACGTGATGACATTTGCCTGTTGCCAGTAAAAGCAAAACCCAAAAGTCTGACCTCTGCTTCCGAGCAACTGAACACCTCTGGAAAGCAGAGGTTTTCGTTAAGCTGGTAACTATTGTTTATCTCCTTTTAGATGAAACGATCAGCAGTGAGAATCTGAATGGGCACGCCACATCTAGTGTGACATCAGAGGAGGTCAAAGTTGACATTGAGTCTCCAGAAACAGCGCTGGAGGAGCAGGCCACCGGGCCCGACAGCACTGAGGACAAAACAGGTAACTTTTGGATGAGTCACTGCATCTAACATGAGCTTTTGTCACACCAGGGCTAGTTGGTGTCCTTAACTTTCTGATCTCTGTACTAGTTGACACTTCAGCCCTGGAATAGTAGTTTCTCACTTGTATAGTATAGCTGAAATGATAATTAACTTTGTTGAGGCGTTTGTCTTGTTCTTGAATTTGACAAACTTCCATTTTCAAAATTAGAAGTGGCTAATTGTTACTGTTAAGCTCAATTATCACAGTGACAACACTTTGGATTGAGCGTAAATTATACAATTTGAAAGCCACAAAAGAAATAATGAGATTGGCACAATTTTATGTGCCAATCTATGTGTACGTGCGACAATTGTACACTTAGAAGGAAAAAAAATAAGAACAGAAGAGGTTCTTTCTCTCCAGTTTCATCATGAATAACCATGATTTGTTTTACGCTTCAAGCAGAAAGAAATATTTTATGGTCCAAGTGTCTAATTTTTGTTTTGGAAAATGGAGATATTCTGTATCCACAGTGGTATTAATGTGTCCAGTAGAGAACAAAGATAATGATTTATATGCTCAAACTAACACAGCTTCTTTTAGATGTGTGTTGCTTTGAAGTCTTTCCCTCTCGGTCATTTGTACCAGCTGCAGTTTTCTGGCTGGCATTAAATCCTCTGTGGGATCTCTGACGGGGTCTCATGTGTTCAGATAGACATCCCCATTGTACCGGCCTGCAGCAGGCGTTCACAGTCTGAACAGAGCAGCAGCCGTCTCCTAATGCCTCCCTCGCCCTCAGGAGACCGGCCGCCGTTCTTCTGTCTGATGCTGCCTAAGTGTTGTGCTGTTCTCATCTCAACCCTGTTAGCATTGAACTTAGAGCCATTTCTTCGTTCATTTGTCAATAATCAGAGAGGCACACGCAACAAACAAATACAGCAGCAGAACACGCATGCCTTCACATCGGAGGTTAATGGGTTTTTTAATCCTTCATATCCCAAGCCTTATACATCATTCATGTTGATACAATCTAAATAAAACCTGCCCAAGACTAACAGATCAAACGTCGTCTCTCATCAGCAGCATCTCTGTCCAACTCACCTCTTATCTATCAGTATCTCTTTCTTTGCTTTTCTCTCATGTCCATTTGTGCATCTGTTTGCACAAATGTGCATCTGCTCAGAAAGGTGCGATACTAAACCGCTCGCCCGGGCAAAGCAGGTGCGACCCCGGGACGTTCAAGCTAAAAAACAGCAGAGCCCCACTCTGCCCTCCTCTTCCAAACCGGCGGCCGGCACTGCAGCCACAACTAAGCAAAGAGACGGTGCTTCGGGGACTAAAAAGACTGCCAAAACCACAGGCAAGACAGGCTCATCCACTCAAGCTAAAGCTAACCCACGGAGCACTAACAACACTAGTCGCGGGATTGGTAAGTTCAGCTAGTTGGGACTGAAGCCAGTTTGCCTGTCAGTGTTCCTGCCTGCCTCCCTGCATGGAAAATGTACTTGCATCCTTGTTTGAAGGGAATGAAGACTCGCTATAAAGATGTCTGCACCTGTAAACCGTGGTGTCATGTTCTGGAAGAGTTAGTCGCCAAAATAGTAGCTGTCTCTCCCTCTTGATTGCGTCCTTTCCTAATTAGAAGAGATTTCCAGTGTTGTGAGTAACTGTTTGTGATATCTGTTTCTGAGAATGCAGAAGTGAAAATGTATTTTCTCAGCTCTGTAAACGCCCAATACAACTGTGTGTGTATGTGCACATTTATTTGTGTGTGTGCGTGTGCGAGAGCACATGAGTGTGACTGAGGTCCGACAATCTCGTGGTTTTGATTGAAGGCATGATCATCTCCCTTTATCCCTTCATCCAGTGTGTGTGTGTGTGTGTGTGTGTGTGTGTGTGTATACTGTATTAACTTACAGCATGGTGGAACATGTGATGTTCATGCAGTCTTTTCTGGAGGCCTCTGTGTAATTTATTTTAAGTTATTGGCGAAGTGGGACAAAAGTTGTTTTCTTGGTGTTTTAATAACATGTTCAGTACTTTCCTTTCCTCAGGCTTCCTTCAATACTGCTTCTGCCCAAGTCAGCTGGGACAAAAAGGAGCATTTACTATATTTCCCCCATAGACCTTTTTTTCTTAATAAAAATCATATTAACTGTACATTTATAAAACACATTGAAAATATTTTTTACTGCAAAAAAAGATTCCTAAATCTAAGTTGGACTAAATACTAGTATAAGACAAAGAATCTGTATAGATAGGACAGGATTCACACCTACAGAAGATTGAGAGTTTTCGTTTCTGTAACCTGTGTGTCTTCTGTGGGAGGAAATTGGAGCATCTTGAGGAAAGAAAAAGTCTAATATTTCTCTTCTATCTTTCCCTTGTTCCTGTTTCTCCTCAGCCAAATCCTCCCATCCAAAGAAGACAGGATTCACAGCAAAAAATACCTCCACCTCTCGTTTCCGTGCATCTAAGGATGCTTTAGCACAGACGGAGGCAACCGATGCAAGGACGAACCGGAAATCAAACACTCCCACCTCTTCCTCCGTACCTCAAAAGGCCCCCGTAGAGACTCCGAGCCAGCCAGGGGAGTTCAAATCCTCTCTCCTTTCTTCAAACACTTCATCTAAAGCCTCAGGCAATGACACAGAGGGAACTCATGCTGCTTCTCAACCTGCTCCAGAGCCTAAATCTGCTCCCAATGCCTCCATTGCTGGGGAGGAGACCCACAAGGGTATGGGTCCTGGACCCGCCATCCAGTCTCCCCATATCAACACCGCTACAGAGGACACTTCCTTCACAGTGGGAGAGACGGGCAGCGGCTCACAGGGGGAGAAACGGGGGAGAACGGGAGGGGAGGGTGGAGAAGAAGAGAAGAAGAAAGGAGAAACGGAGTCTGCTGCGGAGAACAGCCCGAGGTGAAAATGTAGTAAGGACATGAGAGGTGGTGAAACATTCCTCATGTTTGTTATACTTCCAGAGAACATCTCTACACAGTAGTCTTACTGTCGTCACATGATACATGCTAAAAATAAGGATGGCTGACAATATATCTATATTTTTAATTCATTGAGTTCAATAAAATCTGTAAATAACATTTACAGATCTCAGGATTTGTCCCATTTCAACAAACATGTGTGCTTTTATTCAATTTGTATTAATTTATTGAAGCGAGACGTGATGGGTGACAATAGACCAGACAGAACTTACTACATTTGGTGACATGACAGGATAAAAATAAATAGGCAAATAATGAAAGTTAGATTTTGTGGTGTATGTGTGTGTGTTAGCGATGCTGCAGTGCAGTGTGTGTGTGTGTGTGTGTGTGTGTGTGTGTGTGTGTGTGTGTGTGTGTGTGTGTGTGTGTGTGTGTGTGTGTGTGTGTGTGTGGGGTGTAGAGGAGCAATTGGAGGTGTGAGGTGGAGACAGAATAGAGATGGAGAAGAAGAGGAAGAGGGAAAAAAAAGAAAGAGAGGGAGTAATAATTACAGTGAGCTCACGCTGTCTTGTTATTGTTTCCTGCAGGTCTGCAGAGGCCCAATCTGAGAGGCCACAGGGCCTCAGCGTGAACACTGAGCGGGCCATGGTGACGGTGATCCCCGATAGGCCGAGATACAGCCAAACCAGCGACTCTGACTCTGACGGACCAATCCTGTACCGAGAGGAGGAGGAAGACGAGGAGGAAGACGAGTACACAACCAGTACGGGATTAATTGTGTACTCCTAGAACTCGTACGGACATTTCAGAGAAGCTCCTCGTGACCACACTTCGTTAACTTTGACGTGTTGGTATTTCGTATGAGGCCTTGTGTGAGGTTTCATGAAGGATATTCTATTTATTTTGTAAACGCTGTTAAAAATGCCGGAAGGAACAAGCAGCTCTAGGATTTTATTTACATTTGACACAGAGATGCATGTTCCTCAGAGTACACTGAGTCACCAGTTCATTAGGTTACTCTTGTAGTTTCACACAGTCTGTACATTCCAACAAGTCATGGTCATTAGCACCTGCAGTTTGTGGTATGTATCAAGCTGACCTCTGTTTTAAGTGTCACTTAGGGTTCGGTTGAGCTTAGGAAAAGAACAAACAAACCATAATGACTTAAAGGGTGTCATGATAGTTGATGCTAAGCATGTCAGCTCTAGAATAACCCAAACGGCTGACATCGTTAGCTATAGGCTGATCTTTGGACCGTCGGTGGACACAAACAAGCCGCCATTACTGCGGTGGCATCTCAGTTGTCCATGCAGGCGGTTAAGAAGCCTGTGACTAGTTCTCACTGTTGTGTCTTTGTTCCAGGCGCTCTGGCCATGAAGATCCGCCGACGAGACACCCTGAACATCAAGCTACGGAACCGTCCCAGCAAGAGAGAGCTGGAGGAGAAAAACATTCTGCCGAAGAGCTCTGAGACGGAGAGACATGAGCAACGCCAAAAGATAGGCTCCAAACTAGTCAGGTACACACACACCTACACACAGCATGCTGTGAAAATGTAGCAAGCTGTGAATTTTCATAGTAGATCAGCAGGGAAACAACAGAGACTGTTTAATTTGTTGTGTAGTTGTGGGCGGTGTGCTGGTACAAATGATGCACTTTAAAACTCTGTCTTTAAGTTTAGTTTGGCTTTTTCTACCAGATGAGGCAGAACGGCTGGTGACAAACAGCCTTTGGATTAACAACAAGAAAAGTGTGTGAAATAAAAAATAGTTTCAAACAAACAATGCAATGTATAAAAAAAGATATATATTTTAAATGTGCCACGTTTCGATCTAACGGAGATCTTCGATATTAAAAAGGTCTCCATCAACGAGCAGTACGTAGACACAAATACGTTCATTACTCAGGTGATTGTGATCTGCATGATTGAGAGTCAGTCTACTCGCAAGTTGGTCCAATCAGAGCAGAGCTGAACAAATAGAAACATTAAGATCAATATTGAATAAGCATATATATTAAGTATAACATCAAATCAAATATTTTACATCACAAAAAAAAAAAATCCTAGAAACTACTAGATGTAGAAAAAAAACATTAAAATGTAGAAAAGTAGAAGTACATTGGTAAAATAATAGTAGAAAATAGTAATATATTATTTGCCAAAAAAGAAAAGAAATTGTCAGGAATACAGCCAAGTTCATCTTAGCAATAGGCCAGAATTTGTGTTAACGCCTACATGTTAAATACAATACCGAAGAGGTTGATGAGAAAAAATGAAAACTACTATATTAAAAAATACAAAAAAGTCATATACTACTTGTCCAAAAATATATATAATATTTTCGGGATACAAAGTTATAAAAAAACAAAAAAGAAATCACAAATGTTTGTCTTAAGTCAGTGTAATGTTGTTCAGTCTCGTGTGCTCCTCGTAGAAGAAGTATGTGAACCCAGTTTTGTCTTTTCAGGCGCCTGAGCCAAAGACCCTCCACAGAGGAGCTGGAGCAGAGAAACATCCTCAAGCGTAAGTTCATGAAATATCTATTAAACTGAGCGGTGATGCTGTGCAACTTGAAATGAACTGTCTAACATATATATCTGAGCAAGAAATATGGATGTTCCAGGTTGAACCAGGTGTTGCCAGGTACAATATGACTTGTGTGTCTCATTAATCAGATAGTTGAGACAGAATATGGCCGTGTAAGCTACGAGTTACATTGTGCGCAATACACACACTACACGTAAATATCAAATATTGTTTGTGTGTCATGCTACAAAGCAGGCCTGAAATCATCTGCTGGAGGGTTTGCTGGATCACTTTTTGTGCCAATTTCAGAGACTTAAAAGAAGCATTTAAGCTTAAAGATATCTGAACAGTATTTCTGATCAAGTTCATTCATTTGTTAATACAGTTGTTCCATAAAATACTTTGAAATATACAACAGCTGTTTAACTGCCAGGATGAACCTTCGGCTTCACGGCTGGCTGGTGTAGTGATACAGATCTGCCGACGTAAAGAGGGCTGAAGGGCACGTGTTTACCTTTTGTACCCAGATTGTACAACCAGTTGGTTCGCAACTTCAGTGCTTGGCGTCCATCTGGAGGTGTTGTTACTTGTAAGTGTCGCGGTTTACAGTGTAACGCACAGCCTGCGTCCCTCCGATGTGTACAGCATGAAGAACAAGATGACGGATATTTATTGCGTAACTTTTAATTTCGGAAGAAACACCGAAAGCAAAAAGCAGTTCTGCTCACTTGTTCTGATTATGGGACAGAAGGTGAGATAGTTATTTCAGTCTCTGATACTATACACACACTCCGGCCACTTTATTAGGTACATCTTTAATTCTTCATGACATGGATTCGTTCATGGAGCTCCAGCAGGGGAACAACATTGCTCAGGGATTTAGGTCCATATTGATCATGCAGTTGTTGCAGATTTGTCGGCTGCACATCCATGATGCAAATCTCCTGTCCCACCACCACCATCGTCTGCACACCTCGGTTGTAACAAGTGATTTTTACTGTTGCCTTTCTATCCGCTCAAAGCAGTCGCCCATTCTCCTCTGGCATCAACAAGGCCTCTTGACCAGAGATCTGCAGCTCACTGGATGTTTTTTTTCTTATTTGGACCATTCTCTGTCAACCCAAGATATGTGTATGTGTTTAAATCACAAAGCAGGTCGTCTGGCAACAACCATGCCAAGTTCAAAGTCACTTGAATCAAATTTCTTCCCCATTCTGATGCTTGATTAGTCTACATGCCCAAATGCATTTAGTGAGTGAGTGTGCTACATATATTATACATCCATAAAGACGCCACAAGAGAGAATGCATTACATATTCAACTCGCATGTTACATTCTTTCTCTCGAAGAAATCAAAGGATATAGGTTCTGTTTATGTTAAGGCAATCACACTGCTTCACAGCCATGGACACATTTTAATATGGCAAATCAAATCTTGCTTTTTATAAATAGAAGCAGAAGCTTGTTGCAGACACAGTAGTTGTGAAATGACTCTGTTGGCTTTTTGCACGCAGAAAAGAATGAAGCAGAGGAGCAAGAAGCTAAGCAAGAGTTAAAAAGGAGACTCTCCAGAAAGGTACTGTAAACACCAACCACACACACACACACACACACACACACACACACACACACACACACACACACACACACACACACACACAAGAGAGAACAGATAGGACACAGTGAGTCTATATTTAGCTGCTAATATGTTTTGCTCCACTTATGATTCACATTAGGAGGCAGAAAATATGCTTTTTTTGGAGATATCAGCCCATCTAGTGGACACAGATGGAACTGAGACTTTCAGTCTCTAGTTCTTGTGATTAAAGAAAACATTTGCTTCCAAGAAACCTTTAAAATAATAAATAGAGGGTGCAATAATAAAAGTATGCATAAGCATATCGCCATATACAGTATGTTAGACTTATAACTTAAGACTAAAAAGGACCATTCTTGAACTTTGATGTTTATAGTCTAATTTCTCTCTTTCTTCCTGTGTGTGTTTGTGTTTGTGTGTGTGTGTACGTGTAGCTGAGTGTGAGGCCTACGGTGGCAGAGCTCGTCGAGCGCAGGATTCTGTGTTTTAACGAGTACGTGGAGGTAACGGACGCCAAAGACTATGACCGGCGGGCAGACAAACCCTGGACACGGCTTACTCCCGCTGATAAGGTGCTACAGCTAATACGCTGCATTGTCAAATCTTGACTATTTGTTTCTTATTGTTTGACTATTTTTTTTTTCTTTATTATGTTATCAATTCATCCAGCTGTTGCTAGTTGGTTTACATACTTTATAAATGTGTAACATTACGTTTTATATCGGCATGAACATGTGAGTGAACTGCAGGTGGTTAAAGGATGTCAAAGTACACCACATGGCCAAAAGTAGGAGGCCACCTGAACGTTACACCCATATGTGATTGTCGACTGTGTTATTCCAAAACCTTGAGCAGTGATCTGATGACATAACAGCCTCCTCTCTTCTGTGGAGGCTGTTGTTCCACCTGATGAAATTCACCTCAGCTTACATGAAGTGAGATGATACATGTGTCGATACACAAAGAATATAAAGGCAGGCATGCAGCAGATCTGTACAAATTTAAACCCTTGGGGATCACTGGAGGGCAGTTTCTATGTCCAGCCTGCCCTCTGCTGTTGATGTTTAATACTGCACAACATAGAGAAATCCCAGACCGTCGACCTCCTGAGCGCTGAACCCTCACCGACTTTAATCTGCATCAACTGCAGCAACAGGACTCCATGTTACCAGATCCTTTTTCATATATAGTTTGATAAAACTAACTTTCTGAATACAATAATCTTTTATATAATTTTTATGTTGTTTGACAACAGCAGACAAAAATATATCAACATAATCCCCAGGGAACAAAGAACAATGCACATGTTTGCTGCTGTGTATATTATTCATGTGTACATTGTTCTTGCCAGCACATTACAGCATTACATTATGAATTGTGGATAGTTCCCTGAAGCAAAGTCTGCACCTACATATTTATGTAAAGTACTCACAAATAGCTCAAAAGGTCCAATGGGATTAGAGTAGAAAACACAGCTGTGTAATAACTGTGTTTTGATGTCGAATGTGTGTTTGGGGAACAGGTGGCCTTGTCCTGCTAGTTGCATTTTTATGAGATTTATTTGTGTGTGTGTGTTTGTGTGTGTGTGTTTTCTGCCCCTCAGGCTGCTATCCGTAAGGAGCTGAATGAGTTTAAGAGCCGAGAGATGGAGGTTCATGAAGACAGTAAACAGTTCACCAGGTACTCGAGCGGTCAATGACCACCATTTAGTCCACCCGGACGATAACTCACACTTCATTAGTGATTCATCCCCATGAATCCTGCAGTTTACGAGTTCACATCGATCAATATTTGTATTACTGTGATCCTCCAGAGCCGTTTCCACCAACATTAACTAAAGCCATGATCTAAGCACCTGGGTCGACTCCAGTTCCTTAGCCGAGATCTGCGTGACTTGGCTTCATATTGTATCGCTGTACAGAGCGCAGAGAGATCAGTTGAAAATGTCAATTTATATTGCAATTTCAGAAAAAAAGTGTAATCTCAACACTATTAACCGTGAATCCTTTACCTGTTTATATTCTTATGACCCATACTGTTAACCTGATTTTGGCATTGTATATGTTGTATATATTTTGGATTTGCACCTTATTGTTATTGTTATCCAAGACTTTTATATATGCATGTTTTATGTTTGCACTTAATTGCAACTGCTACACAGCAATTTCCCTCTGGATAGATAAAGTTTTATCTTTTTGTATTCCGGCATAATTTATGACACTAAAAGCAGTCGTAAATCCTCAGCACAAAAACACTCCAAAAACATCATTACACCAGACCATTTTCTATTTTCAAGGCATCTATGAATTCATTTTTGTTAGGGTAAGGATGTTTGAGTGTTTTTGTACCTGGTGAAGATCCATTTTGGATCAAAACTGGGCAGCAGTAGGTGATCGAATGCACATCATTTTTGTATGTGGTTTAGGGCTGTCACTTTAAAAAAAAAATCAAGTTGGAACAAATGAGAACTAACAACCCACTGCAATGTAACCCTAAACTACGTTATCTGATTGATTTGTAGATATTACATTCATATTGTGCATGTGTGTGTTGTATTTTCACACTTGTGTGTTTGTATTTCCAGATTCCATCGGCCCTAAGCGCTCTCACTGCCAGCTGGACGTCAGCACCACAAGCTCTCCGGTCCACAGCTCCCAGCAGTCCCCCCGGCCCTCCAGACCCTCAGACCCTCAGTACACAGCTCAGTCCATTTTGCTTTGGGATCCTCTTGCAACTGATGATATACATTCCTGTCAATAGTGACAGTAACAAATGTGTCTTAAGGCCTTGACCATCCATGGACACCAGTGAAACTTTTGCACATATCTATAGTCAGAACATTGGTGTGCATAGCGCTCCGATTAGATTATTTATTGCAGATGGCCAGAACATGCTGGTATGTGATGCTCTTTTTGTTGTTTTGGTTCACTTCATCACAGAGAGGCTCCAGGGAGGGAAAAATTGGGCAAATTTACCTTCTTAGTATAGTGAATGTGGCTCAGCTGTACTCAAGAGTTTGTGTACTTGCCAAGGTATGCCTTGTTACTAACTACCAAATGTCCATATATGGGCATCCTCCTAGAACAGGAAATGGCAGCCATTGGATGGTTGTGTGCTGGTGTCAGTGCCTATGTCATAGATCAGAGGGGAGGAGAGGCAGTTTGTTCTGCTCCGATGTACCTCTCGGAGTTGAAATACTGCAGTTCAGTTTTAGACATATTTAAAGTATATTGCCACTAGAGGGCATTATGACATTAGAGTTATAGTCTGTGAGGATGAAGATGTGAATGTAGATGAAGAATAATCTGCAAGTGTTGTATTTATAAATGCTGAAGCCTCGAGATCGGTGGGCACCCGAGGCTGTTAACAGTGAAGTGCAATGGGAATCACTCCAATTCTAGACAATTCTAATCCCTCGGCACTCCCGATGATACATGATGACCATGCACCATCATATACTGTGTCTTATGTTGAGTTATTAAGTGCAAACCTCTGTTCACAAAGTGCGGGACTTGCTGTTTCGAGGATCTACTTTTTCAAGCTTTGACTTCACTAATTTGGTGTCAAAGAAAAAGCTGATATTTGATTCTATGTTGGTCTTTTGTGTGGCGGACTTCCTGTGATAAATGGCGAACAGGCACTGAGAGTTTCCCCACTGAAGCAATCAACAGTCCTCTTGAAAAAGTCGAGAAGTACTTTATTTTCCATTTTCCTTGAACGTGCTTTTGCGATTGAATCTGTCAGCCTATGACAGATACGCAAGGAGAGACCTGCTGACAAGTGGTCCTTATACATTTTGCCCTAACATGCACCTTAAATCCAGTGGTAAAGATCTGTTTTTATCAACACACAGTTTGATTTGATGTAAGGCATGTAAAGCAGAAGTAATATATTGATATGTGTTATAGTAATCTAAGCAGACATAAGGGAGGGTATGAAGCAGCACAATGTATTTCTTGGAAATATGTTCAGACTTTGGATTTATGGTTTCTCAGCAACGTGGCTGAGGCGGTTTAGTTTTATGGATCTCTAGTGTTCACCTTCGGAGCATTTTCTTCTTTGAAGTGCTCCAATACTCAAGATATATGTTAATGCAAACGTAAAGGGGATCAATTAATAATGCTTTGTTTTTGCGTGAATGCCAGAATGTCTTGCTGAGATATCAGAAAAAGAAAAGTCAAGAGGCGAAATGTGGAAGGACTGATTTGCAGACAGAGAACCTGAACTTATAACATGCTCTCGACTATATAATACAACTGATATACGAAGCCGGGACAGAAATAAACCAAAACTTGGCCTAGATGTTCAAATAAGAATTAAGCAAAAACGTTCATATAAGAATTAAACAAAAACATGTTTTTCATCCCTGCACATTTGGACTATAGCGGAGATGTTGGCTGACAAGTGGTTGACAAATTGAGCTTGAGTCCAAAGGCTTGTGTTCTCATAATAGACCTCCAACCTCAACAACACTCGTCATTCTTACAAATAATGAAAAAGATCAATTTATTCTTTCTGCTTCTGAATGTGAATGAGCTTGTAACATGAAATAATGTACAGTGATGGAAAAGAACCAAGAGTATTCATTCATGCGAATGTCTATCATGCTATATATATTGATTATTTTGTACACATACATGTATATCGAGCATGTGCATATATTGAATTCAATTTTACTACAAATATGACCCAATAGAATGTTTTAAACTCGTACTTTTAGTTGTCTTATTTGCCCCAGACAATAGGAAAGAGATGAAGAGTTCAGAACATGTGTAAGTGCTGTTTCTAGGCAGCATGTTAAAAACAGTATGTTGAATAACTGCCACGTCTTAACCAAACCTACCTGTTACCTAAACAGACCATGGACAAGCCAGTATACAGGAAGTTATCAATCAATATCTTATTTTGTATTCTGGTCCACCTTCACTTTAGCTGAAGTCGGGTGCAATGCAGTAGATATTTCATGGATGTAGACTCCGTTTAAAAACAATTTATAAACCTTTCTGGACTTCACTTTTGATTTATTTCTTCCGATGACCGTAGGTCACCTTGCACAAACTATAAAACGAAAAAACAGGATGTGACTTGAAATTTTATTTGGTTCAGGCACAGGATATAATCCAGATGCATTTTATAAGGGAGCAAACAGGATTCGGTCTATAAAGGTGAACATAATGATCAAAGTCTAACTTCATTTTAGATACACAAATATAAAGTGTTGGTGGAACAGCTGTGCTCATACATATGCTGCTTGCATCTCTGTAGAAAAGACAAGTTAATCTTAAAGACAAGTAACATTTATTTGAACCGAGCCTATTTAGCATTTATAAGCAGTATATAGTTGATGAGTAAATGTTTATATAGGTTTAAGCAGATAAAAAGACATTTAAAGCAGCTATAACCAAATAAGTGAGTCCAGCTCATTGTTTAACAGTCCGGTCCACAACGTTACTGTTTTGGCTCCCACTGCTCTCATGGTGTCATTTCTGCCACAACAGGATACTATATACTACCTGCTCAGCAACAACCGCAGACAGACACAGTAAGCGACTAGCTGGTGAACGTAGTGGGGCATTTAAGACTAAAGAGACACAGCTATTTCCTTCAGGAGTTGGTGGAGACCAAAAACAGAGCTAAAAGAGAGTAAATATTACATTTATATTTGCCATTTGGGCTCAAACATGACTCCAAATGAAGGATGATGTTACTCCGTAACTGCTGAATTTGTAAATACGTCGATGTTTGCCATATCAACTGAAAAGTTGTTAATATGTAAAATATTATAACCTATTTCTTATCGTATACAATGTCTAGTTGACTTGATAACAAGTATTCAACACATTTATAAATGGTTTTAAACCTGTCTGGATGATTTTAAATGTGTAAATAGCTCATAGGTAAACAGCCATGAAATACTGTGCTATCAATCACTCATTAGCTGTTTATGCAACAATTATGATGCTAAATCGTAGAAGTTAGAATTGGTGACAAAGTACATTAATACACTTAAAAATGTCTTTATATTTGCTTCGAACTACATTATAGGTAGTGCGTTACGAACCTTTTATGAAGTGTTAATATACTGCTTATAAATAAATAAGTGGTGAAAATAAAAGTGTGACCTAATAAGATTACACTGTTTGTGTAAAACCAGGGTTAGAGCTTGTTGTCTATTTTAACACACAGCTGACTTTCTAATACTGAAACTACTTCAGGGAGTCCTGGTCTGGACTGTCATCACATCTATACCTTATTTTTTGTCCATAAAATCCATGTTGTAGTCCAGAATGAGGTGCAGGTGTTAAATTATGACCAGACAGTATTAATCACAAGGAGCGAGTCCTGTAAAAACGTTTACGGCTGCAGTCCGTGTCATCTCATCTGCTATGGAACTGTGAAATGAACACAATAAACCCAAAGAAAAGTTCCGATAACCCAACGCTCATTTCTTTGCATCGTTGAAGTATTAAACACACAATTCCTGCCATTATATTTCTTTTGAAAAAATCTCTAAAATTCCAGCTGAGTTGGTTTAAAGCATTCACAGACACTTTGACACTCGTGTTTCCCGGCTGCTGCTGTTAATTTGCAGCACTGGAGGCTTCCACCATGGAAATGAAAATGTTTACATTTGAGGAGGTCTGCTGTTGTAGTGGTGCTTGAGGCTTCCTTTATCACTTCCACAAACCCCCCCCCCCCCCCAAGTACAATCAAAAAGCCATAATCAGACTACTGCTGGTGACCCTAAAGCCTTTATTCTTCAACATGTAATTCACAGTCAGGTATCATGATAGGGATCACAAGTATCAGTCACAATATAAACCCTCCAGCTCTAAATGCGTTGATCTTTTTTTTTTTTTTTTTGTATTGATCTTTGAAGTCATAGGATGATGCCATATATATCCCCAAAACAGCTACTGTTACGTCCAAACTGTGTACATTGTTTTTGTATATAAAGAATCATGGGAAAACCTCTATTTTGTCATCTTGTTTTTTCTCGTCATATGATCAGTAAATACTTTAATCACTTAAGGAAAAATAGGCTTGAGCTTATTACACAGGAATGTATAAATAAAAGTGTGTCAGCAGTAATATGGATGCAAACAGGTAGAGTCCTGAGTATTGTGATTTGTTTTTATAGATTCAGATAAAACATTTGCACGTGCCCAACAAGCCTGTAAGAAAAAAAAGTTTTTTTAAATACATTACATCATTCCTTTCAGATCTCCTGAAATAATTAAAAGCTGCACCAATTTTTTTTATTCCCACTAATGTCACAAGGATGGAGAAATCTACAGCCTATCTTAACATTTAATTGTGGGGCAATTAGTGCCAATTAAGCCTTTCAATGATATTATTCTTTTTTTAAATGAAGAAAGCCTTTTAATGCAGCTTGTCTCTTCACCTTCCGTGTGCCCTGAATTTGAATAATTGTCGAGGATGACAGCGTAATAACTCTTTAGCAAATATGCATTGAACCTCGCTGTGCTTTTTGGCTCTCACCGAGATTCTGGGTTACAAAAGGCCAAACTAATCTGCTAAAAGTGGTCCAGACTGAAATATCTTAACAACTGTCGGATGGATTTTATTATACTATATTCATCCCGGTAAGGGGGAAATTTGTCTCTGCATTTGACCCATCCCTAGGGAGCAGTGGGCTGCCCATGGCAGGCGCCCGGGGAGCAGTTAGAGGTTCAGTGTCTTGCTCGGGTACACTTCGGCACAGGACACGTAGCAGCCAAGGATCGAACTGCCGACCTCGCGGTTACCGGTAATATGTATAAACGTTCATTGTGCCCAGAGAATGAATCCTAATGACTTTAGTGATCCTCTGAACTTTCTTCCTGTGCCATCACGGCATCTACATTTGTAGTTTTGAGTGAGATGTCTCAACAACTATTAGATGGATTGCTATGAAATTTGGACATTCATGCCCGCTCATGATGAATTGTAACAACATTCACCATCACATCAATGTTTTTATTCAATCACTTAATTTATTGCTAAATACCTGTAAAACTAATGACATTCCCATCAACCTCAGCTGTGCTTTGTATCAAGTGCAAATTAGCAAAGGTTAGCATGAAGCTATGATTATGAACATCGGCATGTTGGCATTGTGAGCATATGTTAGCGTTGATCTTAAAGCCTCACAGAGCTGCTGCAGACACTTGTGTTAATGTCTAGTCTTTCTCTCTTTTCGTCAAATCCACATTGATGTGATTAAAGTAATGTATCACTGTATACTGAAGTTAAAATAAGAGCATCAACACTGACAAATTTGGTAGTCTGTTAATATTTCTCTACCCGTCTTATCACACTTGTGGCTCAGTTGCAAGGAACTCTGATAAAATAAATCAATCACTTTTTTTTCATGTCTTAATACAAATCTGTTCAGAGCTCGACCTCAGTGACAGGAAAGGTGTGAATTATAGTCTTTAATTTGCTTGTGATGTACGGCCTCTTGTCGACTTTGCTGCTCCCTTGCACTCTGATAGACAGTGGTGATAATCGATTTTATAGAGCAAAGCAGGACAGCTAGGAGAGCTAGATAACTGGAGCAGCTGGTGCTTATACCTGGAAGATGTCCTCCTGGACCACAGTGATCATAAACCTCCTGCTCTGTCACAGACAGACACTTCTCTCACCTCACCACATCCACTCCGTAAATCCTCAGCTTAATCTTAAACTTTAACGTCTTTTTTACAAAAAAAAACTAAAACTAAGTTTGCTTTTAATTCCCTTAGCTCAGAACTGTCATGAAAAGGTAATTGTTCTGTAAGAAGTGAGGGTGACAACCTTAAACAGGATTTCTCACTGCGCAAAACTGCTTCTGAGAGACTGCTCAGACGAAACACAAAGTATTTCATCATAAAGACCCAGCATACATACGCTTACGTCTTGTGAGGGCCGTTATTCCATCTCTGTTTGCATTTAATAAGAGAAGACCACGCCAGGCACGCTCTCCAGCATTCTTCACAGAAAATATTCATGTTCTCTCCCCCGCTGAAGAGTCATTATCCGTGTGTTTTATCTTGGATGTTGCCACTCTACTGGTAAGCCTATCTGAGTAGTAGAGATGGAGAGAGAAAGTGGAAAAAACGGAGGAGGGGGTGACGTTTGAAGGAGGAGGTGTGAGCGGTAAAGAAGAAGAGAGTGGAGGAGAACAATAATGGATAAAACAGGAGAGTGGAAGAAAAGGGCAAAGATAATTGGATTGTGGGAGCATTCATATTTGACGAGGGTGAATGTGCTTCCTTGACCTTTTCACCGCCTGACTGAGGTCCTGTGTAATCAGAGAGCCAAACGTGACGCTCACATCAGCGTGAACACATATAGGGCGAGTAGTTATTGGAAGATGTCACTCACTGTATTAGGCACCTTTTAAAAATGCAAACATGCAATGATGTCATTGAACTTTCCAGTCTAGCTTTCAGAGAAGGACATGTAGGAACACAATTAATCGCCTCACTAAAAAGGCACCGCAGGGTCCTGAGTGGCCACAGAGGTGAGGTGATAATGAACTGCCATGTGAGATTAGATCGATGCAGTGGGTGTTGAACTGTGAGAGGTTTAAGCAGGCCTGTACTTACTAACCTCAGTACCAGCGAGATGGGTCCTCACGAGCGGGGGAAAAAAAAAGTTTGTACAGTTAAACTGCTTCAAGTGGAGCTGAACTTCATCTCTCTGTAGGTTTCAGCTTGAGTACCTCTGGAAATTAGGAAAACAGTGTGGGTGAGGAAAAAGTTCTGCAGATCCAAAATGATTATTCATTTAAAAATATACCAAATTAAATGACAATAGTCTTTGAGTCATTTCATTCATACTCACAAATGTCAACCTCATGGTGGTGGTGGGGAAAAGTCAGGGGATTACCGTTAGGATTCATCCTCTGGGAACCATGAACGACTGTACAAGATTTCATGGCAATCTATCCGATAGTTGTGTTGAATCAATCTGGACCGAAGTGACACAAAATCTTAAATTATGGGCTACCTATGCAGAAGGGGATCAATTATCACACCTAATTCTTAATTTGGGTCATTACCCTGCAAGCACTAAGTTGAAAATATACAAAGAAGACAATTGTTTGTGTGTGTGCTAAGCCAAATTTTGGTGGTTCCAGTTTGGTCTCAGAATATAATAAAGCTCAGCTGCTGTGCTTTTGTTTGAGTTAAATGTTTTTTGGATATAGATTAACAACCTCAAACCAGATGGTATGAAATGAAACAACATGGGAGTTAATTAAATATTTCTAGCATGCATTAAGAGAAAACAAGACATTTTTCTTTCACAAATATCAGGGTCTCTCCATCAGGCCTTAGTGGGGTATTCAATACCTTTATCACCTCATATGTGATCAGTTTTTCCTGCAAATATAACATGTGTATTATGAGTGTCCTTGTACTTTAAAAGTCTTATAGTGTGTTTGTTGGCAGGCAGGACATAGTATTTCTAGTCATTGTGAAGGTCTCCAGAAGGAAAAAAACAAGATGTTTTACATACACTGGTCTTTCCCTTTGCTGAATGAAAAAAACTATAAAGAACATTTCTTATGTTAGCACAGTATTATTTCACATACCGAAAAAAATGTTGTGATGATTAAACTTTTTTCAAGGCGAAAAATGGAGGTGTGGGGAGATATAAAAGTCATCCTGATCAGCCCATTTCATCATTTCTCCTGTCTGCTGGGGATTTTCTCAGTAGATTAACACAGCATTTTCACTTTCTTCTTTAGAGAAAACATTGTAAATTAAAAAAGCTGTGCAGAGGAGGTCTCTCTCGGAGTGCTTTACCTACAACGTGGGTATGGAAGCTGCATTTGAGAGTCTATGATCAAAGTACACGCACCTGCAAGCCTTATTCCCATTAAAAAGTCCATCTCCACTAATGTAGCTGGAAACTGTAAGGCAGACGTCTATTTATGTGCTCAGAGCACATAAATGTGTGTGTGCGTGCGTGCGTGATGGCACACCGACAGACCTCACGCGGCTTTCATGCCTGACTTGGCAGCGCCGTCTTCACGATTCTCACAGTGAGGACAGATGGCAAGGACTTACCCCACTAAGTAACCCTCCAACACACACACACACACACACACAGCCAGACGTGATGTGCAACATAAGAACTTCCTTGGAACCCACTGATGTCTCTCAATCCAACAAATGAGTCATGCATAGCATCCTCTGTGTGTGATTTTGGCTGGCAGCGTGCTTTGATAAATCACCTGAAGTCAGCAAGTCAAACCTCAACGCCTGCTGCTTGTTTCCAGTCACACGTCTCACTTTGCCTGCTGCCAACAAAAGCCTTAATTGTACCGACTGCAACTTCAAGCATCTAGGCCTACTCTACATCAAACATCCTGAGGCGATTTGCATTGTGACATCATTTTCTCATGGCTGGTGGCATATTAAACCGACACTCCTGATCAAAGGCACTGATTCAAAGTCAACACAGGAATAATTTCCTTAATGTCTGCTGTGTTTCATGGCAGTTTCTAAGCTGTTGCAGCCGCTTCAGAAGTAAATATGCACTTTGAAATCGAATTGCTATCACTTGCTTTTCAGGTGTGCAAATAAACCAGACAACGCAATTAGTAGCTTCATTAACCACACAAATCATATATGAATATCAGCCACCTCGTCAAATCAAGTTATTTGATTTTTTTCCCTTGACTTGAAGGATAAACTGTTTTCCATTAAATAGACGATACACGTTAAACACGTAGCAATGTCTAACTTTACTCGGCAATCAGACGTAACGACACAGTGTCGTCAGGATGTGTGGGTAAGTCACGCACAGCTGGTCTGTGTGCACTCAAATGTGTGGGTGGATGATTGGGTACGTTTGTGTGTGTGCGCCTAAATGTGGTGCATATACGCGTGAGACTGTGTGGGTGGACAACAGTTCGTTGAATCTGCGAGGCCAAACAAGGGAAATTCTCTGCTGAAACGTACCTCTGTGCAGTATACACAGATGCAGCTGATACGCTTCACCCGTGTTAGAGGTTGTTAATGTTCTAGCCTGCAAGTTTATATTTTCTAAACTGAAATCAAGTTTGTTATAAAATATAGATGTCGATGCAAAAATTCAACTTCATAGACGTGCATGTATCAAATGACCTTTTATCAATACAATTGTGCACTGCTCTTGAGCTTCAAAACAAGAAATTGTTTTCTACAGTCCCAGTCTGAGACTTTTAAGTCCTATTTCAAATTAACTTTTGAGTACTCTGCACATGCACACACACACTTACATATATATCATTTTTATACCTATATCAATTGTTTATGGTAACCAAATGTTTCCTTGTTTCCCCATTTCTATTCAGTTAATTTATTTGAGCCTATGCACATGTTGAAGCTTCATTTAATAAGTTATTAAATATTCCTTTTCTTCTCTTCTGTGGGATGGAATAAATCCAATATTGAATGCATACAATACACCCAATTTGTTCTAATGGCACGGATATAATTTACAGATAGATGGTGAATTAAATGAAACATTTGAGTACGGTGAGTGAGAGAAATTCAAATGCCTGAGTGGTCACTGAGCAACTTAATGAGTATGAAGATGTTGTGAATCAAACTAACTGAACATGGAAAACATGTGTGCTGCACCACCACCATATATTCCAATTGAGGGAAGGCATCTTAGAAGAATAGTGTTCATCTCTTCTATTGCATGACAGGAATCTACCTTTGTCACATATCTGTATGTAGAGATGACTACATTTTAAACGGTAACACGTGAATTTTAATTAAATCAAAACAGAAATTTCAACACAGAACACAGCTCCATTAGTCAATACAATATTCAACAGATGGAAGTACACCACCGTCTTTTCCATCATCTCTTCTAAAAACTGTTTAGAACGTTTCTTACTTTACTTTCTTTAACATTTGTAGTAAAAAAAGAAAAGCACAAACATCGTGTAAAAACCTCCACAGCTCACTCCAGTGTAATTTATGCATCATCAGGTTTGTCTAATGGGGGTCCACATGGTTGGAGCATCTTCTCCATCAGGTTGAAGCGGACTCTGGCTTTGCTCTCGTTCTCAGCGACGGAGAAGTAGTTGAGCAGGTCAAAATGTCCCATGTAGGAGCAGTAAGAGTCTCTGTGCTGGTTGACCAGCCATTCCCACTTGCTCGTGTCGGCGTGTCCTGTACCGATGTACTTAGACTGAAGATGCTCCAGTTGACTGTGGATGTTGTATCTATCGGTCATTCTCGCTGAGATGAGGGTCCCAGAGGCTCTAGACAAAAGTCAGATGCAATATCAGTTTATAAATTCATGCTGAGGCAAACTGATTGAATGTTAGCATTGTAAGCGACTGTAAAGGCTAACTTTACATATCTGGCTCACGTTAGTTATTGTAACATTAACCACTTTCTGTGTGCTTGAGCTAGCTACGTGCTCAAATTAAAGTAAATAACTCCCTCGCTTTGAGCCATATCACAATGGCTAACGGTTAGAATGCTAACGTTATTCTATTATTAATAATGTTACGTTAGCATAACAGGACAGCTCAGTCATTATAAAGTCAACTACTCTCTATGTGTTTGACATAGTTACTTGCATAAAACCATAAAATATAAAACCATAAAATATAAATAAAATCGGTCCATTGCTTCGAATTGCTTTCTACTGCTTTTACAAAGCAGCAGCTAGCATGCTAACGTTGCTTTCAATGGCTTTCTGGCTAACAGTAATGTGGAGTTAGCTAATGCTAGCTAAATACAAGTATCCTCGAACCGTCAATTAAAACTGCTTTTTTAGCTACATATGTGTTTCTAAGTGATCATGTAGCTTTCAAATGCAAAATAGACTTACTTGATAGAATGTGAGGAGTTTAGAGCGAAGGCTGAAGATGTAAATAATCTTTCGGTGCGTTCGGGGTTCGTCGCAATGCAATGAAACGATGACTTCCGGTTGGTTTCCCGTTTACAACGAACCGGGGAGAAACAACGCCTATGACTCTTTAGTTCCTCTTCTCCAATTCCTAACAAAATGTGCTTTAATGACCATGACGGTTAAGTACAGTGTTGCCTAACCATGTTGTACATGGTTTAATAATAAGAGATAAGAGAGATAACGTAATGGTGAGAACCACAGAGGAAAAAAGCTAACCTTAAAATAACAGATTTTGAACACACAAGAAATGCTGTTTTGCTGTTACAATGTCCCTTCCCCCCCACCACATGCAAGTCTTTCTAGCAGGTATACTGTTTATCATGTTCATCTTGCTTTAACGTGTAGCATGTTATTATTTCCTATTTTGCAATAAACACAAAGCTGTGTCTTGTGTTTTTTTTTCTTAAGTGAACTACTACATTGTAATATTTCTATTGGTGCTATAATTATGGGCAGAGTTGTTGTTCATCTTAATTACAGAGTAGCCTACTTATAGAGTGCACTCATCCCTGAAGCTTTAATGACAAGACAAGAAAGGTGCACATTTTTGTTAAGGTTATCTGGTATGTTTTATTGTAGCAAAGCTAATTCCCAACTCAGTCACCCGATGGGAGCACTTTGGACAATTACCTGACTCTTGCACAGGTCGTTTTATTTTTTTTATTTCAAATAAATTAGTTGTTTCTCATTACAAACAGCAGTGGAGGGAGACCAAGAGGAAGAAAAATGCAATATTCCTAGTAATGTGTAGCGGTAGTGGTGTCCTCAGCAGATAACATCCACTGGGTCAGACTACCATAACAAGATATGGTACATAAACCCCTCATACATTAAAAAATTCTAACATTTTGCTGCCTTTACCCAGGAACATTACTGCTTTTGTTCCCACTAGAGCCATGGTGAAAGATTTACAGCTTTCTTCCCCCTAGCTCTCGTTGTGGCAATATGCACATGGAAAATTGACTCTGGCTTCTGTTCCCACAAGGAGGATATCTGCCTGAACATTTACAAGTTATGGTGCACGGGGGAAAGGTATTGTTCATAGATGTTGGCGGCACTGTTTGTTGTTTTTTTGTGTGTCCAGCCAGCGATTAATAGAAATAACTAAAAATCCAGAAAGAATCAACAAAGTTTGCCGTGATAATGGATCAATATTAAAAGCAAAGTAAGGTACAACGATGCAGTCAGAGGTTAATTTCCACTGACATGCGAAAAGCTAGGCATTCAAGTCGTTGGAAGAAGTTTAGATATAGAAAAATCTCCCATCATAACACAATCACATCACTGAGGTTCACTTTCATGTGTGATTACAGCATACTCTATTCAGTTAGGTCCCATGAGGACTGCTGCTCATATTGATTGTCTGTATAGCTCACCCGCTCTGGAGAAAAATACCCAAGGATAGTAATTCGGTATGAAGGATAACAGTGATAAGAAAGGAAGGTCCATTTATCACACTGCACCATGGAGCTCTACAGGGATAGAGATTACATTTCTGATCACATCCTGCTAGCAACCGCTGGGAGTGAGGTCAAAGACATCTTATCAACTGTGGTGACAATGGTATATTGTTCTTATGTCATTACAGAGAAAAAAGCAGGGGTGCCCAGAGGATCTTGTGAGCCTTAATTTGTTCCCATTCCTTTATGTTTGTGGTATATTGTAGTGCCATGTATTTGGTCTTTATGGGTAAAATAGGAGTGGTTTATGGTTTGAGGGATAAAACCAGACTGTATCTCCAGTCCCTTGGCATAAGAGAAGCTAAATGCACAATGCGGGCAGCAGACAGGAAAAGATGTGGGATTCGCATCGAACTGAGAATAAAGACACAATTATATGTGTGTCATTAGTCTTCTGAAATCTACTTGAAGGAGGAGAAATTACATTGAAAGGGGTTGAATGAGATGTGCTGTTCCATTATGCTTAACAGGATTATTATTGAGTCCATTGTTATTTTGTTCTCATTATTGGGGAAAAGACTTGGGAAATATTAAAGTGTTAAAGTAAGAGTAGTCCAAACCGCCAGCCCCACTTACAGTACAGAACCTTTAAGCAGAGCTTCAAAAGACCTTTTCAGTGGAAAGTGGGATGTTATGGTGAACCAGGTGTGGAGTGTGTCTTTGTAGACGGTATTAGAACTACTCTGTACAATGCCCCTGATGAAGAGCCTTTTAGGAAGGTATACCTAACTGCTCCAATGCCTGAAAGATGCTCTGGCAGAAAAGGACGGTATGTTGTGTATGAAGGATCACTCGTGGAGACCAAGCGGCAACCTTCAGGGCTTAAAAATGAAGCTAATGCGTTGTGTCTAAAAACTGTAGTTCATCAATGAAGCTGGCTCCAAAAGTGAGTCAATCCCTGTAGACCCCGAGGTTAAAATGACCAGCAAAAATAAACATGTTTACAGCCTGCTACAAACAGTTTTGGTCTCTATAGCTAATAGGGGTGAAAATCTTATATAACTCACCCTTTTAAATGATATTAAGGCTTAAAGTAAGGCATAATTAGGGTATGGCTGCTTTGAGTGACAGACGGGTGTCGTCACAGCCGCTAGCCGCTATCATGGCTGTGATTGTGATTTTGGTGCTTTTTTGAGAATATTGGACAAATTACGTGTCTTGCTGTGGTGTTGAAAGTACTAACAGAACGGCCAAGCAGTCAGTGCTCCAGTTTTTCAGTGAGGGAAAATGCACAGTGCATGCTCCCATCACATGGGCAGCCCACACTACTACCAACACTACTGTCTGCTTTCATGTAAGTTTTGATTGTATTACTGGAGTGAGAATATTTTGTATTTTTTATAATATTTCAATCAACCGGCAGTTAGTAGCCGGAAGACAAGTACACAGTTCATAACTTGTTAATACAATCTGCTCATTTTTGCTATAGCTAATTGTTACCATTTGGGATTTAGTTTGATTAAGTTTTATTCCCATGATTTGTTAATTCCTTGCCCGAGACATAGGATATTCAGTGTAAATAGTTTTATAGTTCTTTGTTTTTGTACTCCTGCCAGATAGATGTAGTCTTTTGTCACTTTTGGGGAGCTACATCTATGGTAAAGTAATAGTCCCAGGGGCATAATCAAACTTTGATAGCCAGCCTTTTAGTGAGCAGACTTGGGAGCTGCAAAGCACTAGCTGGAGGAAAAGGTAATGAAATCAGATGGATGGATGGGAATAGTGCCTGACTGGATGGCTCCGGTGCCCCACAGTCCTCCTAAATGATGGCTTCGAAAAAAATGGAGTCAGCAATACTTCCAGTGATTTAAACAAACTCCCTAAAATGGAGCCATTCTCAATTTCCAGGTGTCAGAGGTAGATAGAGAGGAGAAGTAAAAACAAACTACACCCTAGGGTTGTTACAGCGATGGCTGCTTAGTCGAAGGACAAACTGAGGAGGTTCATCGGTCAGCTTTCAAACCGCCGGCTTTTGCTGGGTGGCTGGTTCATTGGCAGACGAACTAATGAGGTGAATGGCAGCTTTAAAGGTCTCAGTGGTCATTTGCTTTCTGGTACATTATCTCGACCAACTGACTGGTTTGTTTTTCTGGCTTGTTTTCTGTCTGTTTTCTCCGGACAATGCAGGACTTTCATTTCCCCACCACACCTGAGATTCTCTCTACCGCATCCACTTCTCATCCTCCTGGTCTGCTGTGAACCACACTGGCAAGATGCAGTGTTGGTCAGATGATGGCATCCGGTTAGCCATTCAGCTAGGTGTGAAATAGCCTGAGCACACTGCTGCTCTATGACAGTGCTGAGTTCCAGGGGTATCAATGCTGGGGGGACTTCAATTGGATTTGACACAGTTCTGAACATATAATCTCACTCCTTCTTGCCTTTCATGTCTATCGCCTGTTAAAAAACTCATTATTTTGTCCATTGGTCACGTGCTACGCTCAGTCAAGAGCCGGTTCACTCAAGGCTTTGGTTGTGACCTGAGAAAATCCACAAGCAGGGTGCAAAGATAAACTACGACTCTTTCTGGCCTTTGGCTTCTCCCCTGGAGCCTTCGGAGCAGTGCGTGACTTTCTCAAATAAATAGGAATCGCATTTCCTGTAAGGAGAGATGCAGCGCTGAATCTCATTATTTAGCCCATGCCAGTTGCCCATACCGTGATATTCTACAGACTATATGACACTCAAACCATTTTAAAACATGATGACAGGATGTACAAAACATGCACTTTTAATCAATAATGTTCGATCAAAAATATTTACACAGTCAACATATGCAGAATCATAATGAGATAATTAACCTGATCAAATATGAACCATTTTAAATAAAACAGTAACAGAATGTGTGCATTTGTTATCAAGTTCTCAGTTGTTTCCTGTATGCAAACAGCAGAGTAAATAAATTAGCCATAGTATCACATTTCTGTCAGTTAAAAAAAAAATATATATATATATATATGTTTTTTGATCTTTGATACAAACAAAGGCTTTGAAATATGAGGTAATCTAACTTTAGTGTGGTTGATTAGCTAAGGTTTGGTTGATTAGCTTTCCGAACAGACAAGGGCAGCCTCCCAACGTCACGTCTGAACGAGAGCATTGTCTCTGCAGAAAGAGGGGACATTCAACGCCACTTGATAATAATCGCTATGACAGGAGCAATCATGCTGCCAACTCCAATAACATATTGCCTGGCTCCCCGACAGGATGGAGTTGAAGGCATGTACGCAGACATACGTACATGCAGCGATGCGCCCACGCCCTCCTGATACCGAGCTGGGGACGTTTTCTCACACAGCACCTCGTGCACTCTGCACATGCATGCGTGCACATTGAATCCTCACAGATTGTCTGGGTTGATAATGTCTACGCATTGAGCACATTTGTATTTTAGCTGATATCTGAAGTTAAATTCTGCGACAACGACTCAAAGTTTTCTCATGTTCGGAAATCACTTTTTTTTTATTGATCACAGAATCAAAGCTTACTTGCAATAAAGGCAGCCCAGTGTGAAATATGAAAATGGTGTGAAAACAGGTTTCAGTCCATTTCATGCCCTCTTTCACTTCCCCTCAACACTTGGTAATACGTAGGCACCATATGTCAAGCACGTGGCCACTTGCTGAGTTAGGGGGCAGGGTCAGAGATGAGCAGAAGACTGAAAATAAAACGCACCTGCTGTTAAACGGGCCTACTAATTAAGAATCACACTTGATTTAATATCCTGAGAATAGGGAGGAGTAAAGGATGGCAGATGACTCACTTCCGTTTCAAGTCTATGGCATGAAAATTAGTAGAGGGAAAAAGAGAAAAGGCCCTTTTCACAGCAGTCATTTTGAAATGTCATTGCATGGTAACCACATGTGTAATGAGGTGCTGCAGGAATGAGTCCTAAATCCCAGAAATGAGTTAGCGCTTTTGCACTTCCATTTTACTCGTCTCAAAGTTAATGGGTTTTCTAACTTGCGTCTCTAACTTTTGGGTTTGGCTTGCAAAAATACATCATCCATGCACCGCTCTATCATAAACATTAATTATGGCCTTATTCCATTTAGTTTGAGCCAAGGCTCTGGTATTGTGCGTGCTACAAACAAATTTCCCCCTGGGGATGAATAAAGTGCATATCTATCTATCTATCTACTCACTGCATGGACAGTGCACAGTGGACACTGGACAGAATGGGACACTAGTTAATTAATAAGACCTGTGTCTACCCTGCTATGTCAAAATGACTGCTGTGAAAATGGCCTATTACTAAAAGATTATAGTATATTACTTCATATTCCGTCATGCGTTGTGCAGAAAAAAGATGAAAGACTATAAATAAGCCCATTGAATACATAATTGTTCTCTCAGCTCTCGAAGAGTCACGTCCACTTCAGTCTTCTGCATTCTCAAAGGATTTCCTCTGTGGGAGAGTGTCGAGGAAAAACTATCAGGCCTACATTTAAAAATCATTTCATGGAGGACATTTATCGTGCCAAACACTGGTGTAGGTTCGTGTCTTGGTGTAGTTGCAGGCAGCTGGTGTTGTGCATGCTGGCTCTCTGGTATGCCATACTGTGACAGATGAATTGAACCACAGCTATCGTTAATGTTATTTGTTACTCCTGTGCTTTTACTGCACTGACAAATCAAAATATCTGCTACTGTGATATCTCAATCCACAGCAAAACACACACACACACACACACACACACACACACACACACACACTGAGCTGATGCAGCACCTTATGGCTGAAATATGGAGAATTGTCACAGTAGTAAGTATTTACGTTACAGCAATCATTTGGTGGTAAATTCCAGTGCCAGGAGACTAGTAGTGACTAGTGACCGTGGGGAACAAGCTCCTGCCTTAAACTGATGGTTTCTGGATTTCAATTATGTCTGCTCCGCTCCTACAAAGTATATGTTCTGATAATATCCTCATAATTCATTTTTATTGTTTGTTATTTGGACTACTAATCTCTGAGCGTAGAAGAAAAGCTGTGTTGTGTTTCAAGTTGAGACTGGAAGACATACTTGTATGTGAAGACAGGACACACCGCATCCGCATGCAGGTGATATTTTATTCAGATGCAAAAAAAAAGGCATTCCTTGAGATTCAGAAGTACATTGTATTCCATAAACAATGATTAACAGTACAATGTTTACACGCATTTTGTTACAGAATGTTCATAAAGTAGAAATTCTTGTCTTTAGATTACAGGAAATGCCATTTACAAGTCATGATTGTGTCACAAGTCATGAAAGCAAGCAAATGAAAAAAAGGAAAAATCCAATGGTGCATGTGTACGGATCATGGACATCATTAAATACATTTAGCTTCAACAGTATATTCTGTATGTGTCGCCTGCTGCAAAATATGTCTTACTGCCAATTGGCCCCTTTTGTTCCAGAAAATGTTCGTTCATTTCTTATCATCTCACTGTTAATTTTTGTTAATTAACAAATTTAAAAGCATTGTTCTAGGACTAAGTAGCTCTTACTTACTTACCACAGCTAAAAGTTTGCTAGCTAGCAGCATTTCGAAGCACAGCATTCTGCTTATTTAATTAATCTTCATTTTGCCCGGAAATGCATTACACGGCATAAAAAGGTGAATTGCAATACAGCATGTGGCACTAGCCAAACTCAGCTGCTGTTTTGGTAATATTTCAATCTTCGACAATTTGGCCACAGTTTATACACAGTTTTCTGTTGTGGCAGCTGGCTACTTGAAAGACTGAAAATAACAATAATTCTTTCAAAATTGACATAAAGCAGCGATACCAAATATAAACGGATACAAATAGGCTTGTATGTACAAAAAAATAAATGAAACAGTCAAAGTTAAACTCTTAGCAATTTAAGATTTTACAAGTAGCATTCTGATTAATATACATCTCTTCAGTTAACAAGGCAGATTCAATATGACAAAAGTTATATTTAAAAGCACGATAACTGGTCCACCGTGATCATCAGAAATCATTTTCTGGCAAAGTCATGATTTCATATTCATAAAAAAAAGCAACAGAATACTTACACTATTTTACATGGGAGATTTATACAATCATGTTCATCTTCACGCATCGTACAAAAAAATACTGGTACACAGAATATCGAGTAGAGCTTCTGTGAAGGCAACTGGCAAGTATAGCACACAGCACAACACGTAAGCACAAGCAATTCTAAAGGTTACAACAGATTTACAATCCTGCTTGGCTCACTTGTTTAAGAGGAGAAGTGACTCCATTAAAACCCATACCTGGTGTAATGGCTGTTAAGCTGTAGTTAATCATACACTTGTAGGACCACATGTCGCATTATATGCCACAATAACATGCTCTTTGCGCCGTGCAAACAGGCTAATGCACCGTCTTTGCTGTTTCAGCGGATCCACAGTTCAGCCCAAGGATCCAGTGTGATAAACACAGCTGGCTTTCCTTCTGTACATTCAGAACTTTATCAAATTCAGCAGAGAGGACACACAGTGCTCTACTGTTTGTCTACACAATGATACATCCAGTAAAAGGGTAAACACTTTTTAGAGAGACAACATGAAAGAACAGAAAATAATGAAGGCCGAAGGGGCAGTAAATAACAACAAAAGGTTAGGTGGGTTGAGAGGAGAGAGCACAGGCGTATGTCAACACAGTCAGTCTTCCAGAAGTGACCAAAGCCAGCATGGCGCTGTGCAGATCAATATATGGAGAGCGGTGTTAATAGGGTGGAATCCATACAGAAGTCGGATCAGAAGCACAGTTGGAGCTGTAAAATACTTTGAATAACACTTCCTGTCCAGTGATGTCTTCATGTGGTGGGAGAGCCACAGAGCCTTTGGCCATTCGGTAACACAAGTCCAAAATCCAATTAGATCCTTTACCGTGCAGTAACATCCATAAATCCACATGTCCTGACTACTTACACTGTCCTCTCACACACGTATGAACAATTCAAAACGAAAATTTCTGGTAGAAAAGTGACATATTGGAGGGAAGTCATATAAACTCTGCAAATAAGACAATTAATTGATTAATTATTTTACAACCAAGAGAATTTCGGATGACTAGGCTTCGATCAATGTGGCAGCAAAACAGCATCATAAAAGTGTCTTGGTTGAGCGTCTTTTATAGATCTGTCTATACACCTGTCTTGGTTTACTACACTCTTTATTGTTATCGTAATAATAATAATGAAAACTAAAAGTTGTAGTAGCGTTAATGCACAATTTAGTGCCAAAAGCTTCTTCCTTCAGGAGGAGTCTTGGTTTTCTGTTTGAGTCCTGACCCGTTTCTGTATCTGTTTCAGAGTAAAAGCCATGCAGTCAGTAACAGTAACACTGATGCAGCGCTGCAATTAAGATGGAAAACCATTGTTTAAATGCTCTGTGCTATCGAGTCTCAGTCATGTCCTGGATTGTTTGTATGTACGTGTCATTTGTGTTTGTGTGCTCAGAGCCCCGTGGTGACCTGCGTGACCTCTGAGTTGAGATCGTCGTTGGCAATGCCGCCACAACAGCGAGAATCCACCGACGACCCCTCCAAGGCTAGTCATACCTGCAGAGAAGAGAGACAGTTTGTTTATGTTACCTTATATGCAGTATATTTATATTTACCCTTACGTGAATGTCTGTTCACCGCCATTCACCTAAAATGAAGATTGATACCACTCTGATGTCTGAACGGTAAATTTGAAGCTAAGACTTAGCTTAGCATGAGGACCGGAAACTGGGGGGAAACAACTAGCTTTGCTTTGTCCAAAAGTTTTAAATAAGTCTGCTTACATGCTCACAAATAAACAATGTGTGGTTTTATGGAAGGCTATGTGCCTGACTATTTCTCGGCCAGGCAAAGTGACATCTTTGCAGTCTGGCAACCTCGCAACCTCATGGTAACGACAAGACTTATGCTAAGCTAAGCACAGTTGTTGGTTGAAGCATCATATTTACTGTACAGACAAGAGAGTTGATCCTCTCATTTAAAGCAAATAAGCGTCTATCCAAATGTGTTGATCAATTCATTCCCAGATAGATGTACTGGTATGTATACACACAGACAATATCTACCTGTTGATTGGACCTATCTCCTGTGTTGGCACTGTTGTGTTCGCGCTGTGGGAGCTTGCGGCTAGTGACTCCGGTCCGAGACGAGTTCTGTATCTCCAACACTGAGGGACTTGGGGTGCAGAACTCACGGAAACAACGCTTGAAGTTCTCATCCAGGTAGCCATAAAGAACCGGGTTCAGACTGCTGCATGAGACAAAAACAAGGTTACAGTTTAACTATAAAAAATCTGCAATGAAATGTTACCATTATTTACAATATAATGTGGGGTGTGAAAACTACAAGTCAACTTAAATCATTGTATAAAACCATGAACCAACAAATGTGCATTATCAAAAATTCTACAAAATTTTACAAATTTTTTTATGTGTAAAGAGCATCCTGTCATCAACACTTCACCAAGCTTTAAGAATGTATCTCCTGCAATTTTTGGACCAATAGTTTCAATATGACAGTGAATATATTTGTCTAAGGCTGATGCGTCGAGCGAACCTGTTGGTGTATCCAAGGGCAATGCAGAAGTGCCAGGTGATAGTCTGCAGCGTGGAGCTGGGGATATTGATCAGAGCTGTGATGATGACAAAGATGTGGATAGGTGTCCAGCATATGATGAAGACGGCAACCACCACCAGGACCATGCGGGTGATTCGACGCAGGTTCCTGTCCTTCTCCTGTGTGTGTGTGTGTGTGTATGTGTATGTGAAGGAGGTAGACGGTTTAGTGTTGGGGGATAAGTGGGAGTACAAGATGAGCAGAAAAGATATAGCGAGGGACAGAGGAGAGTGGAGGATGAGAGAAATGATGGGAGAGAAGATGGTTCGAGGGGGATGAGAGGAGAAGTAAAGGGGAGAGGATCAAAAGGCAGAGAGAAATGTAAAAGGATGATGGAAAGGAAGGAAAGTGGTCAAAGAAAGTGGCTGAAGAGACATGAGTATAGGAACAAATCATTTCTGCTACCACTTCGATTTTCCATTTGTATCAACGGAAAATAATACACCTTCATTAGAATACAAAGATTTTTCGGAGCCAGCCTTTGGTACATTTTCTCAAAATATTGTTGGGTCTTTTCGTTTATTACTGCAATGAATTAAAGCTGAGCCACTACCCCAGGCTTAAGTTGTTTTTCACAAATTGCTTTCTCCTGAGAGCAATGAGTGCACCGTATTTGCATGCAAGCTCTGGGCAGCTTTGTTTTGCTTCATTACTCTGAAAGATAAATCAATTAGTTATTGTGTAAATAGCGCAGGCCATGTAGTTGGTACACCCAAACGGTTAAGATTTCTCAAAATGATCACTATAGCTTGCATTCTAAAATCTCCATTTGGACCTAATTAAAAGCCTATACAGAATTATTCACTGTATTCACTTTTATTGGCTCAAGTGTGTTAACGAAAAAGAGATTTTTCTTCACCTGGGAGCCCGACAGCATGCGCACACTCTTCAGCCGGAGGATCATGAGGCCGTAGCAGACGGTGATGATGAGGACGGGCATGATGAAGGCAAAGATGAACACGCAGATCTTCAGCAGGGTGTCCCAGTACCAGGAGGGGTGGGGGAATATTAGCTTGCAGTCAACAATGCTGGAGGCTGTGCAGGGTGAGGAGACATATAATCACAGATGAATACAGATGCAAACAGTCATTACTTCCACATGAGAAATTTCTCAATTAGTTGTTGGTATCAACTCTTATTTTCACTTGTCTAGCTCTTTTGAAACATCTGTGATTCCTTCCTCTAAAATGTGTTTCCTTAATGTGGTTGTACACAAGGTATTTAGGGTTGCAACTAATATTTTTCATTTTTGAGTAGTCAATTATTTCTATTCAATAAATTATATAATAATAATAATCTATAAAACGTCAGTAAATATTGACAACTCTCATTTCCTGTCATCCCGCTACTGTTAATCTCTAATAAAGATATAAAAATGCCCATAAAAAAAACACTGTCATGGCTGAAAACTATGTTTTGTGATGCTAAAGCAACATCTTTTAGTACTATGCGAACTCCACGAAGTCAGTAAATCTCTCATTACTGTCTCTCTTCCAATCACAGCAGGTCACATTTGAACTATTTCAGTGGTGGTTTTCTCTCCATTACCTCTGCAATTACACAGAGGTGAAGCCTGGCTCCGCAGGTAGCCTCTTGACTATGCAGACAGTTATATTAGTCACCAGCGAGGCATATAGCATTTAATTGCTGTTTTGTGCAACTACACAGAAAAACTTAAGCAACTCTTTCGGGTTGTCTCCTTTTATACAGCCTGCTGGAGTACATCATTGCTTTTTAAAGCTGGAATGCAGTGAATAGATAGATAGATAGACAGACTTTATTTAAGACTCAGGGTCCAGATAGACAAATACATAAAATGACGTACACAAAACATAGCACTCATTCTCTCTTGTAAGGAATATGTTGTGAAAGTTTCTTGTTTTTAATGAATGATCTCAATGTGTTTTTTTTCCTGTTTTGCGCTTCTATTTTTTTAGGGAGACCTTGTAGAACTCATCGTCTACCAAGGACAAAAAAATAAATAAGCACTGTTATGTATGGTTGCTACTTGAGAGTTGGATGCGGCGTTTTTAGTTGATCACTTTCAATATTCGATTTATTTCTGTTATTTGCCATAAAAATGTTGGGATTAGCGTCAAGACAATTTCCTAGAAGCTAATTTCATCTATTTATCGTGGCTGTCATAAAGGATATATATATAGTTATTCATCAGATCCTGAATATTTAAAGGGTATCTTATGCAAAGTTCAAACACCCTTGCAGTGTAGGTATAGTGCTTGTGTGTGCACATGCTTACGAGTGACAGCGGTGGAGGCCATGAACATTACAGGCAACCCGATGGCCGAGGAGAGAATCCAGTTGCAGACGTTGACAATCTTGGCGTTACGCGGTGTCCTGAAGTCCAGTGCTTTGACCGGGTGGCACACAGCGACGTAGCGGTCAATGCTCATGGTGGTGAGTGTGAAGATAGAGGTGAACATGTTGTAGTAGTCGATGGACATCACCATCTTGCACAGCATGTCTCCAAACGGCCAGGTCCCCATCAGGTAGTTGACGCTCTGGAATGGTAGCGTGCTGGTGACCAAGGCGTCGGCCAGAGCGAGGTTGAAGATGTAGATGTTGGTGGCGGTCTTCATTTTAGTGTATCTGCACAGAAACCATGGATTTATTATGAGACACCCGGCAGAGACATTTAAAACGCCCCCTGTTGCTCCTACATAGGAGCAAGACCCAGACTGGCTACAAACTGCATCATCCGTACTCATTTTGTGTCTTTTTGTAGTCATTTCTCTGAATGGTCATTTTGAGTCTCTTGGTATTTTCTTTGTCTCTTTACAGTCATTTCTCTGAGTGGTCGCAGTCATTTTGAGTCAACGCTGCTGCTCACGAAAAGTTGAGCGCTCACGTGGAAATAAAAGTACAATTAAATTCTGACTGTTAACAAATGTAAGTTATACGTTCTATAGGCTATGTTTGTTATGGCACAGAACATGGCAAAACTAAGTAAATAAGTGTTTTTAATTTTCATTTGAGGTAATGATGATAGAGGAAGGCCTCCTCTCTGACTTATACCACCTAAACTCCAAAATATACCTGGTACACTGGTGTGCAAATATCAGTCAATAAATCATCACAAGCAAAATGTTAAAGTTTCTTAATGTTATCTTTATGTCTCTGAGCCACTGGAGCAGCACTCACAACGATCTGGAAACTATCCAGAAAGCAGCAATAAAGACGTTCATACAGAAGATGGGAATACAAGGACACAAGTATAGTGCCAAGAAATTATTGAAATGTTTCTGCACAAGAACAGCCTCAACCATGCAACACCTTCCTTTCAAGCAACATTAGCAGAACTTGAATACACAGCTGAAATGCCCCTGTTACTCCAGGTATGTTGCAATCAGAGCAGAATGTGCCGCATGAGCTGGGCTGAACCCGGCGTACGTATCCCCAGGATGTTTTTGTGAATAATTCAGGCCCCTTGCCTCAGCGATCAGCTCATTTTGAAATAGCAACCGTCTAGTTTAATCAGTTCTAATGACTCAGTTTTAAAAGACGCTGTCCACAGGAGTAAAGTCCCAGATTCCTTGAGGTTTTCGAAGACATCACAAAGAAATTACTTTGGGATGTTTAATGTTTTCCCATGTACGGGACACTTCGATGAGATGATTGACACCATTCTTCTTTCTGTTCATTGAATATGAAGCTACAACGAGCAGCTGGTTTAGCTTAAAAGAAACTTGAAACTAGAACATTTAGCCTGGCTCTTTTAAATAGTAACAAAATCAACCAACCAGAACCTCTAAAGCGCAACAATTAACATTGCCGGTGACCTATTCCACATAAAGACTACTTATACACATATCCCTGCTATAATGTTGTTAAATGAATCTGGATACACAAAGTGACAGTGATACATAGCACCCCCTTGCCTTTGCTTTATTAAACCACTACTGTCATTCTACCTGAGAGGTAATTTACTGCTATTTTGTTGCAGCACTCTCCTCAATAATCCCAAATCCTCTTAACCGCAGATGACAGTGAGTTCATTACATTTTGATTAACTTTGACTGACAGATTAATGTGTTTGTTATTTCAGGCTTTATTTGAACGGGGACCGAGACACCTTGAGATGCAGTGAAAGCTGTCACCCTACACTGAGTAGTGTGCCGATGGTGGAGGTAATTTCCGATGATGCAATAGCTTGTGTTTCTCCTGTGCCTGTCTGAGGCTTACGCGTATCAACATTTAATGGCCTCGTCTTGTCTGAAAAACTGAATAAGGTGTTTAATTAAGGACTTTTCAGCTTTAATTAATTTTTCAACCTTGAGGTCTTGTCAGAATGCTTTGAGTACATACTGTTGCAAGATTTCTTCATCACTTTCTGAAACCTGATGTATTTCTAAATATACAGTGGAATTAATAATTAAAGAGGACATTTTTTAATTGGATTCTGGTTGGCATATTATTGGATTGGATTGTCCCTGCTGATAGTAACATCAGTCAATAAAAAAGTTCTCCATTTTAGTTTTTGGGTGGTCCCTGCTGTCAGCTACAGTTGTCCATGAACCAGTGGTTTGCTTCTAGGCTTGGGAGGTATTACGGTATACCAGGGTGCCGAAGTACAGTTTAAGTGTGGGCAATCTCGGAAAGCATTGGCTATCGTTCTGACGACAGATAAGCCGCGGGGGTAAAGGGATATATTTCTGGAGTTCCGGTGTAGCCGGTGTATATCTGGGCCAAGACTTCCTTGGCTGAGCGCTGCTCATTGTTTACAGTCCACTGTGCAACTTGAGATGCGAGAATGGAGTTGGAGATGAGAGACAATGCATACAACAGGGTTGTTTCCCAAGTAGGCGCTCTACAATCTAATTTTGAACCAATAGAAAGCGAAATCTTCCTCAAACCATAGCTACAAATGGAAACCAGATTGCTTTCTCTGCTAAAATCTTGTTCCGTTACCTACAGATTCTACATTTGACTAAAGGAATAGAGTTTGATGAGCAGAACTGATAAGCATAAGATATCATGCTTTAGTGGAAATGCACGGATATTGAAAGAAATGATTTGTGCTTTGCTTGACTTACTTGTGTTTTATTAATTGGCAACACAGAGTTGCGTGGTTGACACAATATTACTTATTCATTTTTATGCCAGGAGCAATCATTTGATAAGTATCATTCACAGATACATATCTCCTGTGGATGGTGTCTCATTTTGAGAGAAAACTCCTGATGAGAAAATTCCACAGAACATTGTTTCACTATATTTCAGTAAACAGACCACAAATAGAAATGTTTACAGCAAATGTTCAGCCTATTATTGACAGGAAGAGAAAATTACATTGAAGCCAAAGAGAGACAAGACAGAAGTAACCAACTACACAGAGTAAATCTTCATTAAGCTTCAGCTGTGAGTAAACAACACTTGAAAACAGAAATTGCTCAATCTGCCTCCAAACTGCCTTTATTTGACGATTTCCTGGACCACTGATGCGTAGAAGCGGCAGATAGATGTGCAGTAATGGACCTTAAAACCACCCAAAACAGTCCTTTCAGTGAAATCATGTATAATTCATAGCCTTCCATCAACCCATTAGCCGTGATTCCCACCTGGGGGAGTTAGATGCCATTATCATTGCCTCTGTTGCTCATCCATCTTAATTTCTGCTTAAATGAACAAAAAAAAAAGCATTTGACAATGATAGTAAATTATCCCTGTGGAAAGACTGATAAGAAACTGGTTTTACAAACTCATCATAAGTGCTCCAGCCGAGAGAAACATCCGCCTAATCTCGGCTGTTCCGATGTATTATTCATACGTTCACACAAATCATTTGAAAACAGTGTTCATTTCCTAATTTGAACTATAAGAAGTAGGGCAGTTGAGAATTGGTTGTTTTAATGTGGGCAAATTCAAGAGAGCTTAATGTGGCCATTTTGGCAAAAAAATGTAATTATGAGAAGAAACTTCGATTTTACCCCTACCCTGATTGAAAACCCAATAATATCTTCTGTGGACACTTTCTGACAAATTATTGAAAATAAAATTACATTTACCTCTAGCCTGGCTCCCCAATGAGCCTCATCTGTTGCTCAAACTGTAATGTGGAAACACAGAAACAGCATAGATGGCCATTATTATTCAAAATGAGATTTTCTTTCCAGTTTTGGGCCCTCGAGTGATGTTGATCAGAATGGAATTTTCTATGGCGATAAGTTTAGGGTAGCATTTCTTGACGTTGGCGGTAACGTCAGGGGGTCCTGCAGCAATGTCTTTGAAAAGGGGGCATTGAGGTGTTCTTTTTTAACATTAGAATAGAATTACTTTTACCACCATCATGCTTTTATCTGAACGTTTTCTATGGAACAGTGCTCTCCTCTGAGCTGTAGCTCTGTCGCTGCGTTTACTTCTTAAAAGCTTGGGGAAGCAGCTTTGAGCTGCGCTTTATTGGAGATGATGAAGTTCAGAATTGTGGAACTAAGCCAGTGACATTCATGGTTAATCATAAGTGTTTCGCATTAGTTTTGCTTTCAATGTACCATTGAGGTGAATAGAGAAGATGTTACTTCCCCAAACAAAAGAGGAAATGTTTTGTGACTCGGCAAGGAGAAGGAAGGATTTATCTTTATATTTTTAATTGTCACCTGCTGCCTGAATACTGTTTTCCTTTACATAAATAATGACATTTCCACCATAAATTGATACAAAAACAATTCCCCAGAATGCAGGAAATGAAATGATTGATGTTCATAATCCCCCTTCCTTATTTGAAATGAAACCTACATCTTCAAAGTGGCTTTCTGATCGATAACAAGACCGAATTAATGAGGTGATGAGTCACAAGGCATTTTTGTTTCCTGGGAGACTAATGACAATGATATTCGAACTGTCCGGTTTAATTCAATCTTTTATCTTGTATTCAATTACATGCTTTTTAAATAATATAACAGAATACTGATGAACATTAATATTCAGGATAGACAATTAGCCTACATTGTAATTGATGGGGACTTAAGGAATTAGAAAAGTGACCTTTTGATGATGGTTTATCAAGTCTAACGTAATCTTCTACAAGTAAAAATATGATTTACCATCCACTATTTATCTTGATATTTTTGAGCCTGCCTAAAGAAGATGACACACCCGGGAATGAACTCTGAGATGTGATTTTTGGTGTTGGCGCTGTAAGAAGCAGAAGAGCAATTGATTTAATTTGTTGCGGTCTTGCTTTGTGTTACAACCCTTTTAGACCTGTGCAATTAGTGTAATATTGTTGTGTTTTCATTTTGATGTTCAATTTTCTCCCTAGATATGTTTACTCAGCACAGACCCTTAAGATAATTTCAAAAGGAAATATATATTGATCTTGTACTTTTAGCTTCAAGAACATGCGTACACTTAATTGGGAATCTGAATGACCACCTGATCAAAATCCTCAGTACTGTCCATCTGGATATATTTACGACAACAAATATATCATTTTCTTTTCTTTCCTTTTTTATTACATATTGCTATATTATGCTATAATAATAGTTTGAGCCCAACTCACCCAAAGGGCAGGTTTTGGGATGGGGGATGCAGTGTTTGTTTTCTGAAAAATGTAGAAATAATAAAGAAACAACACCAAGAGTTCACACCAT